TCACATCGGCCCCACAGGCCTACAAACCGTCAGGGCTCATGAGCGGATGCGGGCTCGTCTTCACCCCGCTCCCTCCTCCCGGCCCCAGCGTACTGGCTACGCTCCATCCTCCACTTACGACACTTCCCAGCGTCGTTCTCCTTTCCACGGTCGTCCCCGCCGTTTTGTGCAGCAGGGCCTTCACTTCTCGTGCCGCTTCAGCGTGCTCGAGTACGGTGAGCAGGACGTTGTTGCCCCGCTGTCGCCTGATGGTGACCATTGCGACGATCTCGACCTCTTTGAGACCATCCACTAACACCTAGAGGAATCTACTCTCTCTATAGCCGAGCGCCTCCAGCTCGACCTCTCCACCCTTTCCCGGGCACGCAGCCGCTCTAGTCACGTTGGTGCGTCGCCTCCCGAGGTCCCTCAGCAGGACCTCCCTCAAGGCTTTGTCCCTCCTCGTGGTGTCCTTTCCGCTGAGGAGTGCGCGGCCATTTTGGGTTGGAGTGGGTGTTTGCGCTGCCGCCAGGACGGTCATACCTCCTCGTGGTGCCCTTACACCACGGCCCTCGACTGCCACTACGCTGAGCTCTCTTGCCAACGTCGTGCTTAATCCCCCCCCGGCACCTCGCATCCTCGCGGCGCCTCATAGCCACAGTGCAGTGTACACTTGCACCCTCCTCAGTAGTTGGCTTCCCGACATCTCCATCTCGGTTTGCCCCTCTCGTTGCTGGAGCTAAGGTATCACAGGACCTGACAGAGTGTACTCAGCCCCCTGTCGCAGTACTGTTTGCGCCTTCGAAGACCACCGTCTCCCCTCCTACCTCTCCACGACTACCGATGCGCCGGGACGCTCGCTCCACCTGTTGCAGCGAGCAGCGTGCGACTCGCGAGGACGTTGTGTCCTCCCTTCTGGACTTCAGCATGCTCCAAGCTCGATACAAGCGACTCACCCTCCATGTCACTGCACTGTGTCGCCTTCTCGCTGATCGCACCCTCCTGATCATTCGAGTACGACTGGGGACCTCCACGAGGGTGTACTCAACGCTGTAGGATTCTGTTTCTCAGGGCGACTTCGTTCACCCACGTGCGTTGAAAGAAACTCACTTACCCATGACAAGGTCTCCGACTCCCATCTCCGTCACCTTAGGAGATGACAAGACTCAACACTTATTTGACCAGACGGTCGCCGACCTCCCTTTCTTCCTCACTCTCGAGCCGACTGATCATCCCCCGGCATCTCGTCGCCACCGCTCCTCTGCACATTTCGATGGGATGGAGACGGGGTACGATTTCATTCTCGGTACTCCATGGTCTCGTCGGTTCCGCAACACCGAGGCCGATTGGGCGACAAACACTCTCGTTTTCAAAACGAAGTGTGGACAGACGTATCGCGTACCTTTCATAGGTACCACCGCGACATCACGCCCCGACCCTCCTCCCCCGGAGCCTTCAGTGCCAACACCATCTCCTACTATCACCGTCACCTTACCTCGACAGTTCGCTCACTTTATCCGATAGGACGACATCACCTTCTTTATGATGAACGTTACGAATCTCTTGCACTATGATCCACCTTGTCCCGACGCTGAGCTCATCTCTTTGGAGCCAGATCCTCCTTCTATCTCCATCTATGTGACACCCGCGGCCGCGGCCGCGGGCATTTCGGCCGCTGCGGCCGAAAATCCCGGTCGCGGCCGCGGCCTGGTTTTTTAAATATTTTTTTTTACCCCTAAAAATACTCAAAGAAAAAAAAAAAAAAAATATGGGGGTGTAGGGCTTCAAAAACCCTACACCCCTATATTTTTTGTTTTGAAATCCGACGTTGTTTAGAATTTTTAAAAAATTAAAAACAAAAATCGATTTAAACATAATTAAAAAACAAAATATAAAAAAAAGCTGGATTTTTTTTTTGACATTTTTTATCATGAGATATATGGTCACTGAGTACCGTGTATTTTTTTTAGATTTTGATTTGTTTTTTTTTAAGGGAAATGAGGTGTTTTAAAAAAAACAAAGATGCGAACTTTGAAAATAAATAAACAAAAAACTTACAAAAAGGGTTTTGATTGATTGATTGATTGATTGATTGATTGATTGTGAGTGAGTGAGTGAGTGAGTGAGTGAGTGAGTGTGTGCGTGTGTGTGTGTGTGTGTGTGTGTGTGTGTGTATATGTGTGTGTGTGTGTGTGTGTGT